AATTGATTCTAGGAGATATTTGAGGCAATTTATTGCAAATATTAACTCCCGCCCAACTTTATCATGAAGTCATTTAAATGTTAGGGACGTATATAGGAAATCAATGTACACTGTTGGGCCATTGCCTATGGACATCTTAAATTTTCTAAATATCTATATATTACTAAATATTTTTGAGTTTACCTTCTTACCCAACTTAACATATTAACTTCTGGTAATTACTTTTTAAAATACACATATATCGTTTCTAAGGAGAGGCTAATGCCCTTTTAAAACGAAACTAGCAACTATATTTTTTTTAGGTGTCCCTTTAAGTTAGGGATCGATGGTGAAAATGGGCATTAGATAAGCATTTTGTTCCTATTTTGAGTAAGCTGTTGTAATAACTAACGTTGTTTTAAGGTTTCATCCTTATCGCACTATCCGTGCTTGAGAAAATTTATAAGGAAAAGGTCGGGTCGCTTCATACTATTGCGATGCTGAGTCACGTTTTCTCTTAACTGTCGCTTGTTCGTTACCGAACGTACTAAGGGATATCGAAGGAAATGTCTCTTTCCTTTCCAGACCATATGTGTGGATAAGATGGATTTTATTATGCTGCTTATCCATTGTACGGATGCATGAATGTTTGAGATATTCTGCATCTGTTAAATGAAATGAATGAAGGAATGAATGAATGAATGAATGAATTAAATATACTTTATTGTACACAAGAAAATAAAAAATAAAAATACAACTGTACAATGGGTCGGCCTGAATTGCGATTTCTTCCAGGCAACCTTGTAAGTAACCTCTGTTCTGTGTCGCGAAAGGATAAAAAAGGAATTTCTAAAAGGGTAAGTAAGAGTTTTGACTGTGTTAATACGATCATCGCAATTAATTGTAACGGCCAAAAAGAAATTGGCCAAAAAAAATTTGAGAGAATTTCCGATTGAAGTTTAATAATATATTATAAACATAATACTGGCTCGTATATTGCTATGAACGCATAAAATAGCACTGTGTTTGCTGTTGACTGAACGGTCTAGTGAACACTGCTTCACTTTAATTTAAACAAAATGTTTTTTGCTCACGCCGATAACGTGAACCGATGTAGGGCAGGGCCTTTTACCGGGTGGCCAGTGACGTAGAAAACAACAACGTTGCTTTTTTGCGATATCTGTCATCACTTGATACAATGCATTATTCTATATTTTTAATAAAAGTAAAATTAAAATAACCATTTTGCGGTGGTAGGGCCTCGCAGCAGCCTCGGCTGTTGCACGAATGGGCAGGACCCGGACGGGCCTGCAATACCACGACCTCACAGAAGACCAGCGTAAAGTGGAAGTATGACAAAAGGTTGTCAACGCATCTGTAACTCTCGGGTGTACGAGCAGATGTCCATGGGCGGCGGTATTCACTTAACATCAGGTGAACCGTCTGCACGTTTGGCAATTAGTGACTTTGGTTTTTGGCCCTTTTTTGGGCACGGGTGTAACAAATGCTGATTTCCAAACTTTGGGGACTACGCCTAAAGATAAAGATTTCGCAAATAGAATCGAGACAGGTGTAGAGATAGATGGTGCACATCCTACAAGTAATTTGGCCGATATGTTGTCCGGACCAGGGGATTTAGAAGTATCAAGTTTAAGAAGCTGTTTGGACACATCTTCAATTTTCACTTTAATACAACTTATATCAACCGCATAGTTTGTTGGCAATATTACAGAGGGAGTGGTCGGAGTCGGATTAAAGGTAGTAGCAATAGTGGGATCAAGTAATCGTTTAACAACAGGTTCGGTTGCTGATGTGTTACCACCTTTTAGTGATGTGGGCCCCGACTACCTCACTCAGCGGACGAAACGCAGAAGTGTAACACTTCTATTTTACGTCAGTCTTCTACCTAACTCCTATCGGTAAGGTCGTGGTACTAACCCGGACGGACCTACCCATTCGTGCTACAGTGAATACTTTTGCGTGGTCCTACCACAATAGGGTAGGTTAAACTCAATTTTTACATGAAGTACCATTTCATTTCCAAAAGCTAAACAGCATTTGAACGTCGAAATAGTGTAATATACTTAGTATGAACTCATGAACAACTCAAAAAACTTCGATTGGTTTCATTTGATATTTGCCGGCGGAGAATAAAAGGGAAGGTCACACCAAATCCTAAATCAGTATGGCCGTTTAATAAGGTCCCGACGCGGTAAACATCGAACCAATCATAATAACTCCAGGCAACTTATCGTAAACGCCGCAATAAAATTAAATAGATAGCCTCACCTCCTGGGCCGTTCACGTCAGAAAAGCTTCCACAAATCTTATTGACACTTTAGTATTTTTTCACGGAAATTGGCAATAGCAAGTTTACCGCGGGACTGTTCTTCTTTTCATTTATTTATTTATTTATATATTACGAACAAAGTACCCACCGAAACAGAATAAATTAACAAGGTTTACAAAAAAGTGATGAGTGGCACCATAATAATAGGCAAAAACTACTTTCAACTGACAGTAGGGACACAACCAAAATATTTTTTGAAGTATCTTTATCGATTCTCTCTTATGCTTTATTAATTATTGATAACAGTTTAATTCATATCACAACAATTAAATATAAGTTAGAAATGCCCAAACTCAGACTTGTAACGTATGCATGGATATTCTTTTTAGCTATTGGATGTCAGATCTATGATCATCTTATAGATCTTGACTTCTTTGGACATCATTTTTATGAGCATCATGTTATAATAATGAAAACATCACAAGGTCATAAGTTAATGAGGTTATGAGAAGAGTAAGAAAAGATATAGAGGCGTCTAAGGTACCAAAACTTTGTGATAGCCCTTAAACTCGGTGGTATACTTGCACAAATAAAACTTGTAAGGGTGATCTCCGCTCTTATTATCTTAGTTTGTATCTCGAGAGAACAAGTTATTCTGGGCCAAGTTATAAAGTCACGTAGGGTACCTGACGACGATTATTTTCTTATTTTATTAAGTAAATGATAATGTATTTTTATACGAGTGTTTAGATCGAAAAGTTTTGCCAGGTTATCCCACCTTGGTGGTAACAAAAGTGTTAACACTTTTATTTCACCGTTATAATTTCGGTCGAGCTGACCTATTCTTGGGGCAGCTGCTTTGTTAGATGAACAACACAGGAGTAAAACAAGTGTGAATTGGACTCGCGCGCGAAGGTTTCCGTACCATTTTATTTATAAAAACGGCAAATAAATAATGTATTTTTGTATAATTTTTTTAGTGTTTTTTGCTAGCGGCAACAGAAATAGTACGGGGACCCAGGCCCATTTTTACCTTTGATTACTAACAAGCAGATTTTTTGTGAGTAGCTTAATTTTGACGAGACGCCCGACGACAGAGCCCTTTCCAACATGTATAATTAACAAGTTCATGAAGAATAATTACTAACCAGCTGATTTTTTCTATTGGTTAGTTAATATTTGTAATTTAACACCCACATTGTCCTACAAATTATGTGGTACGTTATCCCGGTCCTTCCAGTTCTATATTTGAAATTCATGAAATTAAAAATAAAATCATTTTTTACATTTCGCTATTGCAGACGAATGACACTATAACGCAAATATTATATATTTAGTTAATTATCTTAGAAATTAATAAAGAAAAATCCAGTTAGTAATAAATTTTTGAAATTCGTCAAATCAACATATTTCATCTCCGCTAACCCTGTTAGCTACCTTTTAAGAAAATTGTTGTAAGGAAAAAGTTAGGCGTCTCAAAAGGTGAAAATGGGCCTGGGACCACGGACTAAAATACATCATCTGTGAAAATTTCAATTGCCAAACTATCAGGGTTCATGAGATACAGGCAGGTGACAAACGGACAGACATCGAAGTCTTAGTAATAGGGCCACGTTTTACCCTTTGGGTCCGTACCCAAATTAAAAAATATTTTTAGGTTTACGGAATCCTAAAAATAATTTTTTTTTCCTACATTTCGTACATCAGTGACGTGAGTACAGTGGAAAAAAAAACGGGATTTAAAGTTATATCGGGTCGCCTGTGGCGATCAAAGACGCCCTATTAAATGGAACACTGGCTAAAAAAGTAAAAGCCTTGGCTTTGTTTTTATTTTTTTGGCCACTTTCCGAAATTTAAGCGCGCCGCTGGACGAATACTGAATTAATGTTCAGAAGAACTAAAGGTCCCCCGTGTTGCGGTGACGTTTAAAACGTGTTCGTCAGTGCGTCGCTACTTGTGTAGCTTAAAGGGAGGGAGTAAGTCCTGATTATGTCCATGATTAAAACGTAATGCTTATTTGCAAAATAAGCCAGCGTTAACGTAACGATTTGAGAAATAGGAAGCAGTTAATGCGGTAATTTATTTAACTGTTTGCGCAAAAGTATTGTTTGATGTTATTTGGTTCTCACTACATTAACATGCCAGATATTTTTATACAGATAATATGTAGCTTCTTGTTACATGTTGTTGAGGAGATATCAATAAATGAGCTAAACCATTTCTGAAAATGTAGAAAAAAAAAAAACCCAAAAAACACATCGAGATTTTCTTCGGTATGGCAATCAGCGCTTTAACTTAGTAGTTAAAGCGCAAGGGCGCGTCTACGGAAGACGTGGGTTCGATTCCCGCAGCGGCGAATATCAATTCGTAGTAATTCAAATATTCGAATGTCAGTATTACAGTTAATGAAGAAGGGTGATTATTATAATTCATAATGCTAATGCGGCTACCATCTTTCCTGATACTGTGCTGAAATTGGTGGTTGAAAACTCCTTTCATCAATAAAAGCTTGCCTCCAAATCACTCGCATTGTTCAGACGATAGAGCGGACGCATGCAAATTGTTCCACCCCTTTGTTGTACGCATTAAGAATGATGAGGGGGAGATTTTTGATCAAATATTGTGAGTATCGAGAACAAAAGAATCGAGGGCAATCAAGCGTCCAGGGAACCGTGATGGATGGGGGCGAGATGAATAAAGATTGGGTACGATTACTGTTTTATTGTTGCAGGACCGGGAAACTGCATTACCCGACCAATGTGTGCGGACCACTATTCGAGGAGGAGCTGGAGTTTTGGGGGCTTGACTCCAACCAGGTGGAGCCGTGCTGCTGGTCCACGTACAGCATACACAGGGATACGCAGGTAAGTCAATGCCACCGTATATTCTAATTAAACATGTTGGGAAGGGTAAGCAAATATTGATAACCACTAGCAAATTGCAATAGCAGGGGGGTTGCCGACGCATTGCTGATCTAAACAAGATAACGGTGGTGGGGCCACCCAAAAGCTTCCGCTGTTGCACGAATGGGTAGGTCTGTATGTTGCACGAATGGGCAGGTTCGTATGCTGCACGAATGGGTAGGTAAGTACCGCGACTTCACAGAAGACCGGCTTGAAGTGGAAGTATTATACTTCTGTGTTTCGTCTGGTGAGTGACCGGGGCCCACTTTATTAAAAGTTGGCAACCCATCTGCAACCCCACGGGTGTTGCAAATGTCCGTGTGTGGCGGTTATCACTTAACATCTGCTCAACCACCAACTTGCTTGCCACGCACACTAAAAATGTGTCGCTACTCCCCAGGTCTACCTCCAAAAGCTGATAAACATTTCCCCTTTTAAAAATCTTTTCTAAAGCATGTACTTTACCAAATTGGTTCATGTGCATTACAAAAGAAACCGCTGCAGAAAAGATGGTTTTGTAAGACAAACGGAATCGTATAGTGGCAAAAAAGTTTTTATTTCTTTGTACAGTGGAGTAATATACAAAAATGTTGGCTTAGTGGATTTTTTGTCTACTTCTTATGTGAGGTCACTGGTTCAAATAACGTGGTGTCTCTTTTAAACGCCTGCTTTTGTACAAATATCACGCATTTACAAGTTTTGTGATACTTGAGTCCCTCTGTCAAATTAATTCGATGAAGACCTAAGCGATTGTTATTGTTGTTTTATGGTATAAAAATAATATCGAAATGACGTAAGGGACGTAATAAGCTCTATGAAAAGTGGATGTCATTAGTTTCGGAGTACGTTCGTGATCCAATATTTGTTGTTTCTATTATCTTGTAATTCTTTCTGTGTCGTGTCTTCGAGCAACAATACACAAAATGTAATATTACTTTTGGTTGAGCAAATTAATGCGATCATTCATCGGTAAATGATGTCTTATTTATTAATAGATCGAGATGGTTCTCTGCGCATTAGACTTACTGCATTATTGTAGTTCGTATATACAGTCATGTATGTTTTATGCACAAAAAATGGTTCTAATGGAACCATTAAATAATATTCTGAAACGGCGTTCGAAGCGATAACATAATTATTAATAGGATTTTAAGGATATCTTAAGGATATTATCAAATAAACATCTTATATATTAAGACGGCCGAACTCACGTTCAATAGGTTTATGTACCGACTAGTTTCGGACTTATTGGAGGTCGAGATTTGTTCGCGGTCGCGCCCCATCTCGCACTAATCTTTGTTAATAATATCTAACGAAAGTTTTAAAGAATTAAATTTATATAAAATTAAATAAATAAAAGTTTATTAAATTTTATAGAATTTTACATAGATGTAAAATTTTTTCACGTCTTCCACTGTAATCTTTTGAATACAGGTTTCACCCGCTATATCTGCAAATACCAAGAAACACAAAAGCTCGATTTTTGAATAACAATATCGTATGGCAACGCCTTACACCTAAAATTGATTTTTCATTGTTTTATAGACATTAAATATTGACTCTCCGGAGATCAAAAACAACGTTACGGAACCCTCCGTCACTAAAGGAAAATTCCTCAATAAGAAGAGAAATCTTTGGGAATAGGGTAAGTGGCTTTTGTCATGATATTTCAGAAAGGATGACTGGGTCAGACAGGTGTCTTGAACAATGTAGGAAAATAAATTACATTCGTAGGATTGCCTTGGTGATTACTCGCTCTTGGTATTTTGAGTAAGACAATTGCTAGTTTCCCGTTAGTGTTACAAAAACTATTTAAGAAAAACGTTTTAGTAATACTGTAATGCAATAGCCGATTAAAAGCAGATATCATTTATTCCTCCAGAGACAGAAGATCCGTGCCACAACAAAGTTTTTAAAATGGTCAAATTCTGAGTCCCAATAGTTTTTCTGTATTATTTCTCTTTGTTAGCGGTTCATCACGTTTTTGTTAAGTTTAATTTTCTTTTATAGTGATGCTATTAAGAATAATAATAATAATTAAGAATAATATTTTCTTCTTTACATCTTCTCGTCATTGAACTGATGTACAAAGTTACAAATCTCACGTAAAATATGCAATAATTCAAGAATTAACCAGAAAAGGGTCTCAAAGCACTCAATACGAGACATACTTGTTTTGAGTTGAAAAGTTATAAGTTATTAGAAAAACTTCAATAAATCTTAAAATAATAATAATTTAATTGTTAAAACACCTCTTTTTAATTTTCAGACTCTTTTTCCCCATTGTGGGATATGCATATTAGGTTGGGGAAAAACTCTTTTCGCAAGTAGTATGTATGTACTTATAATATAATCTCTTTCGCTATACCATTTGTATCTGCCTGGTTTTAGTATCATTAAAAAGTTTAAATTTTAAAAAAGATAATAATATAAGATAATAAGAAATTAAAATTTTTAAAAGTGCTAATCTCTGTGCTTTTTTATTTTTCTACATATTTTAATATTTTTCTTTCTGTTAAGATGAGTGATTCTAATGAAGAAATTCGATACATTTTAAAATTTTACTACTAAAAAGGGAAAAATGCAACGCAAGCGGCGAAAAAAATTTGTGATATTTATGGACCTAGAGCAGTGTCTGTGAGAGTAGCACAAATTTGCTTTAAGCGTTTTCAATCCGGAAATTTTGATGTCAAAGATGCACTTCGCTCTGGGCGCCCTTTTACGGATAAATTGGATGCCATTTTTGAAAAAGTGTAGCAAGATCGGCATATCAGTAGTTACGATGTAGCTGAAGAACTGGGAATTGACCATTTGAAAAAAGCTGGATACACAAAAAAGCTCGATATTTGGTTGCCTCATGAGCTCACTGGAAGAAACCTAATAAACCGTGTACTCATTTGTTATTCTTTATTAAAACATAATGAAACCGAAACATTTTTGAAAAACCTGATAACTTGTGATGAAAAGTGGATAACGTACGACAAGAAGGTACAACAACAAAGGTCGTGGTCAAAGGCTGGTCAGGCTTCACAGACTGGCAAAACGCGGGTTATCTTGCAACAAGGTAATGCTGTGTATGGTCGGATTGGAAGGGCATTATTCATTATGAGCTGTTACCGCCAGGCAGGACCATTGATTCTGAACTCTACTGCGAACAACGGATGAGTTCAAAGCAAGAAGTTCAGAGAAAGCGGCAGAAATTAATCAACAGAAGGGGTGTGGCTTTTCATCATGGTAACGCTTGACCTCAAACATATTTAGCGACTCAGCAAAAATTAAGAGAGTTTGAGTGGGAGGCGTTAATGTATCCGCCGTATAGTCTTGACCTTGCACCTACAGATTTCTAATTGTTTCGGATTTCTGTTCAGAATTTTTTTAATGTAAATAAACTTTATTAAAAAATGTTTTGAATTTTCATATAAAATGCGAAAAAACTTTTTCCCTAACCAATTATAATTCGTATGTTTGAATGTCACTTGGTCGTACTTCACAAACAAATTTCAACAGTAATTAATTTTCATTAACATTAATTTTTACTGGTATAGAAATCGGATCTGTTGGCATCAGCAACTTATACCATCCATGCCTAAATTACTAACTTAGCTGTTCAGCAGTTAGGGTAAAAAAATGTGCCTAGGCGCGTTACCAGAAGACGCGGGTTCGATTCTCGCAGGGCCGAAAGGTTTTGTTATTTTATCCACAAAATTTAACAATAATCGGTTCTTAATGAAGTAAAACCAGACATTATTCACGGATGGAACATTTTTAAAACTCAGTGCGTCTGCGGTTACGTGTTAATTACCATGTCATTACTCTACGACAGGTCTATGTGGCTGGAATAATTATGTGACACTTAGGTTGTAATTAAAGTTTTTTTGTGTAAAATTTCTATTGATGTTATAATAAAATATTTTTAGAACTTTTTTATAGTGTTTTTAGTTTAGTTCTCATGTTCTATGACGTCTTGATGACAAACTCACCACTTGTAGAATTTAATATAGGAATAAAACGCTGAAAAGTTATAAAATGCTAATCTCCCTGTAGGCTAGGGCCTCTTATTTGTTGTAAAATCATCTGACATCATTGCATAACTTTAAATACACTTTTATAATAATTGAGTTGGTTTCAATTTCCTTTCCCATTAAAACCATTGTAAGTTATTTATTTATTGCACACAACATTTTAAGACATGTAGTGCCATGTAATGATAACAATATAAGAAACCATAATTTGACTTATATAAGTCTACCATAAACACTAAATCTTATATTCAATGCAATGATGCAGCAATTGATTGAAAGTCTGGTAAAATGTTAAGGAGAAATGTATACACAACTTTTTTATATATTATTTCCGACCGATTTATTGTAATCGGTTAGAAAAGGGCTAAGGTAAATTAATCTACTTTGATGTAAGCGATGAATCGAAATATTTAAATACAACGCGGGGAAACAAAAAGGCGAACACTCATGGAGTCTGTTTTCCCAACAGCGGAAGCAATAACGAGCGGAGAATTAGCAAAAAAATGTTACAAATAATTTTACAGCAATTAAATTTATCTTTTCAAGTACCATTCTTTTCACAACACTATCAAATTTTCTTTCATATTTGCTTTCCCAACATCTGTAAGTCCCTTAACTGTCTGTGAATGTGATCTTAATTATCTATCGGACGCTCAATCTTCGTAACAGCCAGTACACGTTGACAGTTCCCGGCATATTGTAATTAGTACGTAACGATGCGGGGCCTATAGGCGGTCTCCTATCTATCGTTGTCTATCTTGTCACGCGCCTAACGAAGTTTGTTACGATGTACCGTAATTTGGTAATCCTTAATGTCGTTACTTATCTTTGACAATAAGGATCATCTGCATCGTTTCACTTGTTGCAGTGTATCTCCTAAAATTATTTCTAATATTTGTTTATTTCCTACTACATTACCTTGTGTAGTAGGAACGTTTAATGTTCAGTAATTGTTAAAGGGTCAAATGTGGACTTGACACTGTTTTCATGAAGATGGCAAGCGAGTTGACGGTTCACTTAATGTTAAGTGATATCCACCGCTTACGGACATTTGTAACACCTGTAGTGTTTCAGCTTCGTGCCACCTTTTTATAAAGTGGGCCCCGGTTACCTCACTTACCAGTCGAAATGCTTAAGTGTAAGACTTCACGTCACGTCCGTCTTCTGTGAATTCGTGGAACTACCCCGGACGGACCTGCCCATTCGTGTAACAGCGAAGACTGTTGTATGCCCATAGCAATACCATACCATTATCGATAAAAACGGCAAAAAATCATGACTGTTGTATGGGAACACTTAAACATACATAATATTTCTATTTTAAGTGTTTATTGTTATAGCGGAAACAGAAATGCATCATTTGTGAAAATTTCAACTGTCAACTTCACGTTTCATGAGATACAGCCTGGTGACAGACTGACAGACACGCAGACAGTGAATTCTTAGTAATAGGGTCTTTTACCCTTTTGTTACGAAACCCTAAAAATTATAGAAAAAAATATTTGTTCAGTTATTTGCCGTTCTAACCTTCGGTTCATGAAATTGTTACTGTCATTTTGTGAACAAGTTAGGGAACGATGTTGTTAGAGGACAGAGCAATAAGTACTCTATTGAGTGATGACTCCGTGGCACAGTTGCAAAGTTGTTGAATTCGGCGTCGGGGACCGTGGGTCCGATCCTCACACGGGACAACTATTTGTGTGACCCATTGTTAGCTGTTTTGCATCTGGTGATTGTCCACGTGAAATTTATGTTTGTAAAACGTCTTTAAGACACAGGAAAATGTTATCTTAAACTAATATTAATGTTTTTCAAAAAACAGATAAACAAAAGAAAAACAAAACAAAACTCTTTTGAGTAGAGATATTATTCTATTCTATATTCTTTACTATAGTAAAAAAGAAGCATATTGAAGTGTTTTTACAGTTTCTTTACGATATTTCATCTAGGTATTGCGTACCTAAATTCCCTAAAGCGGCCACAGTATATGAGATCAATCAATATCATTCAAGAATCATTTTGTACTAAGGAAATTCTAAATGGAGCTTTGTAAAATGTTACATTCGATGCGATGCTACTGACAAATATTTTGTATTACTACTAAAGAGCTTAACACTTATATGAGAAATGTTCCAGAACAATTTTAAATCATTTGAATGAACACAATTCATTCGACGTTTTGATGCATTGTTAGCAGGGAGACTGACATTTTCCATGGATGTTTTAACCTACATTTTAACAATAAACAACGACGAACGTTGTCGATGGACTCCTTACTTTACACAGTACAGCGGGTCGCGTTAAATATAGAGAGTAAAATTGTTATGGCAAAGGCAGTTACGTCAGCTGTTGTAGAGCATGCTACAGAAGTCTATACATCATATAATACATCACAAAAGCAATAAATAATGCATTTGAAGTATCAGCGTTTTATTACATTAGACTTTACACTTTTTGGCTTTGCCCCATACATTTATTATTTATAGTTTAAATTCTTGAACTTGGTTTTTGTAATCGAATTCATGCATATATATTAATGCTAAAATGTAGTACAAATCTGTATGTACGATAAAACCAACAGCATATATGACGATTATGCAAAATAACATATGACATCGC